ATGGCATAATTTATTATTATAATTCCTGCATGCTGCAGGCCAACCACTAAGCATACAGTAGTTGCTTTAGGACAAAGCGCATGAGAGAGTGAGACCAGCGATCTTTTTATGCATGAAATATTACGCATTATGGCAAGTTTTGCTTGCTAACTAAGTGTGGTTTATTCATAAACTAATTTCGAGAGGATCACGTGCTTATAATCAACACGGCTGGCTCCTTGTTAGCTCCGTAATCAGCCCTATTAGATGATTACGGAAGCATTATAAATAACCTGAGTTTTTCACTCCAGTTATCTTCGTCTTGAAGCTTCCCCCCCTTTCCACCCCTACATCCTCCCACTTCTTCTGATCGGGTGACACCGTGGCCCAGTGTCTAGCACTGTTGCCTCACAGCAAGAACACTGCCGGTCAAACCCATCGGGCCGGTTGGTGTTTCTGTGTGGAGTTTACATGTTCTCCCCGTGTTCGCGTAGGTTTTCCCCGGGTTCCCCGGTTTCCTCCCACCATCCAAAAACATAAACCATAGCCAATCGACTAAAACAAATTATCACCCAACACAACCTGAGTTTACACTTCTCAAGGTGACAAGCAGGGGAGTTCTCGAGACCTACCTGACCACGAATTCCCCTCTCGCCCTTCTAACGGGAGGGAGCCCCGGGCTCGAGGATCTTACAAGCTCAGGGCTCTCTCCCGGGACAGCATGCCAAATACGCTTTATTGATTATCAGCTAAGTGTGAACTCTAGAAACAACTGAAAGCTTGCTAGATATAATACAGTATTTTATTCAGAATTGTAGTATTTTAAAGTTCTATGAAGTTTTCGGTGACACTTTATAATAACTACACACTATGAATCATTAACAATCTTTTTGCTTGCGTGCCGATTTCCTCTGTGCAAAAAAACTTCTCGCATGTCATTAAATATACACTGCTCAAGCGCAGATTTTCTTGTGCACTCTCAAAAAAAACGCACCTGAAGTGTGATTAAGTAATGAGTATGTCTTTAACATTTGCTAGGAATATTTATGAAGGTCTACAATACTTCTGCAGAACGGTATTGATGCATCCTGAAGTAAAGTGTAACGTTCTTAAACTCCAGCAAGAAAAGATGAATGTATGTAGAGCCACAGTGTTCATCATAACTGAAAACTACATGTTTATATCATCATTCTGAAACTCATGTTTGTTGGCCTCACACATCGTGCAGACCTGTTAGTCAGTATTTAATCTTAAAGGGTTAAATAAATAACGCAGAGCACTACTAAGATTACAGAAATTTTTGCTCTGTTATTATTCACTGACATTTTAATATTATTTGTAGTGATTATATCCCACAAAAAAATAATGCTAATAAAAAACAAACAGCAACAACTGAAGGTTTTGAATGAGAGCCTGTAATGTAGCCGTGGTGAAAATGAATTTTGGTGTGGCACCCCGCCATGAAAGAATGAATGTATCAGAAATCATGAGTTAGCATTTAAGCAGATCACCTACTTCACCTTTAATAACCTTCAACTTAAAGAGTTATTTATTTGTGGGGAAAAAAAATTATTTAATTTGTAACTCTGTTGTTTTATGAAAAAAAAATCTGGGATTTTTAAAAAAGGCCAAACAGTATAGCCCAGCCCTATAACACATCTAAATTTCACAACTGATGTTCCCTAGTATACGATTGTTTCTGCCCCCTCATATTTGATGTTTACTGAATAATATTGGATGTGTACCCTGACTAAAGCCCATGTGGGAACTAACATTTACTGATGTAATTAATTAGTTATGGTACTTTCCGGTGATGCTGCACACTACTGTGTGACAGACTGGCTCCGTATAATCCAGCAGATTGAGTGTGACTTTTCAAATGTTTTTGGAGATCAAAAGAGATTTGATGAAGAGAGGTCTTGTCTGGGAGGAAAAAAGACAAGAGCTTAAGCCGAAAGCAATCAGTATTCATCCAGTCCATTAAGTTGAGGCATGCAGAGATCTTATCTGAAATTACTGATGCAGTGGCAGATAGGGGAGAATGAGTTTATGTTATGAGTGCAGCAATGATAAGCGATCTGGTGTAGGTGGAGAAGTGGAGAAGAAAAGCACTTCTGATCCCTGTGGTAACCCAGTGGGTTGATAAGAATGGGTCTTTTCATCTTGTTTAGTTCATTGAGCGCAAACTAGTAAAGTGGATATGACATGCACGCACTGTACACTGCTGATGAACGAGAGCATAAATGAATGCATACACTCTAAGAATATAATGATCTAAGGTCATTGTATGTACTGAAAACAAGTAAATACTGTGCAAATACTGGGCGATGAGGGGTCAAGTGATTCAAAGAGATGATGTGAGTAAAACAATTTAATTTAGCTGATTTAAACCTCCTTTAAAATCCATTACACTATTGTTATTTTTAGGTTAGCTCACCCAAAGCATAATATCCTATCATAATTTTTCACCTTTAAAAAAATACATTGATGTACTAATTCATTGCAGAAACAATTTTATATGTACAATATAAAAAAATTTAGTCAAGTTCTTGAGCATATAGAAAATGGAAATATTTCAGATTTGGACATTATGTGGAGGAGGTCACACAATTGGATGAAGTTGAGTTAATTAAGCATTTACTAACATACAAATTAACTATTGATATATGCCTGAATAATAAGATATATAAATGCTCATTTAAATGGGTTATAAGTCATTTACTTACGCATTCTAAATGATCATAAAATAGCACCAACTATTCTTAAATAACTAGTTTGTAAATAATGCAATACTTCATTGAGTAATGAAAAAATATCATTAACAAAGTATAAAAAAACAATCATTAAGCACATAACAAATGTGCTTCTAAGTCAAGAATACAGCACTTGTAGCTGTATTAATAAACTACTTACTGACATCTACTAATGTAGAGTTGATTCTTAACAGATAATAAATTGACTATTTGTTAGTGCTTAATAAATGATTAATAGTGTGCAGTTATAAAGTGTTACCAAAATGGGTTGTGTACTTTTTTTGTTGTTCATTTGAACTCTTATTATTGTGGCATAGTCAGACCTTCAAACTGTCAGAAGCTTCCATAGGCCAAATACTTTCTGACCAATGTAAAGCAGCAAATCACAGTTCAATTTGTTAAGCTTCATGTTTAAAGGCTTGACAGATCAAAATGTAAATGACAATAATAAACCAGAGGGTTTTCATTTATAGACCTCATTCAAAACCCTTGAAATCTAAATAGATAAAATTTTACGTTGATCTGTTGCTATTTGCCATATTTTAGTTTTAAAATACAGTGTATGGTCAATTAACATCACAATAGATGTTTCTAAATTTCTAAATAATTTATAATTTAAGCATAAAGAGACGGGGGGGGGTTACATATTTATACATGGTAGGATATCAACAAAGGAACTTAATTTTACTAATAAGTTTAAACTGCTGTAACACAGCAGTTTTATAAAAGCAAATATAGAGGTAAAGAAAGGTCTGCAGTTGATCTACTGACAATCCTTATTTAAAAGAACACAGTTTATTTCCATAATAATCATCACAATCTAGCATAAGCAGGTTTTATTTAATTATCATGACTAGTTTTTAATTATAAATAATTGTGTTTTTAATCATTGTGGCATAGTAATCAACACCATGTATATTTAATACATCCTGCCAAAATTTTAGCATCAACAACATGCACATTTAATATATTATAGCAATATTTTAGCACCAATACAGAGAAAAAACTGGGCTGGGTGACAAAATGGTCTCGATATTTATTGATCAAACGCCATTGTCAATGTTAATTAAAAAAATAATTTGTATTGTTTACAGAGTCTGAGGTTTACTTTATCATCATTATTTACACTTTACAGTTTGCTTTGATTGTTCAGTTTAAAATAATTCCTAATATTCTTAAATGTATTGTTAAAAAAATATTCAATAATTATCTATTTCGAATGATATAATTTTTTTTTGCAATATCACCCAGCCCTAATGTGGAGAGATGAGAAATATGAAGTTAAAGTTGGTTTTGAACAAGGTGCAATCTATACAACAAAAACCAAAGTAAACATTTTACAATGTTAATATTTAGGATTTTGTAAATACATTTTAGGATTATACCAGTAATCTTTAATGAGTGTTTTGTATTTTATGTGGGTACAATATTCAGAAAGTGCAAAAATATAGATACTTATAGGAGGTTAAATTTTTATTATTATAATTTGGTCTGAAACATACAGTACATACGTTTTTCAGAAACTTGCTATTAATAAACAATAATTAATACTTATAGCTCAATAAACTACCAATTTGCTGCTTGCTAATAGTTAGTAAGGTTGTAGTTGGGTTTAGTGGGAATAGGTACTTAAATTAAAGTGTTTTAAAGCAGAGAAAGACTGAATGGACCAAGAATTATATAATAAGAGTGTGATAATCTAAAGTGTGTTAAAAAAGAACAAGAAAAAAAAAAAGAGTAAGAGATCACTGATCATATAGAAAGGAGCTTCCCAGAAACCCAAAGTGTTTCATTTTCACTCAAGAGAACCTGACATCAGCCATAACATATTGCCCCACAGAGGTGCTGCAAGAGCTGTCGTCATAAAATCATTTTTCAGTGACCTGCACCTTCAGATTAATAATACTGTGAGGCTTTGTGCAATTAGGCTAGAGGTGTGCACATTATTATTTTAGTCATTCGACAGAAAAGAAGGAAAAAAATATGAACACAGCTTCACAATATAAATTGGAAGATCAAATCTAAGTGTTTTTAAAGTACCCAATAACATCAGGGTTTTATACGTAAAATAAGAAATTATTTCTTTTTTCACATAAGATTATTGCTTGAGATACGATCAGTCAGCATAGCTCATGTTGTGCTGCATTAATATTCATAAGGATTACAGCTATGCTAGTTTTATTTATTAGAAGTTGGAAACAAGAAAGTAATTTGATGGTGCAACTTCTAGAATGCAACAAAATAATAAATAGCATATTTGATACTTACCCGTTCAGCTGGGATTGACTACAGAGACTGGGAACTGTGTGATGAAATTCTGCATGGCTCCTTACGGATCCTGGGTGGCACGCGAGAAGTGAACTGGAACGGAGCAACACTCGCACACACATACGATATGCCATGCTGTCCCGCTGTGCAAGTGTTAGTGCAAGCGTGCCTTTGAATGAAGAGAATCTGCATGCAATTTTGGGATGTCATTTGCTTTAAGGACAAAGCAGCAAGCTCCAAGGAGAAGGCCAACCCTAGGGCGAGCAAGGTTGAACACACAGAGAACAAGATTGAGAGAGACCTTGGTGTTAAAATTCATCAAGATTTAACCAAATAAACCTGCTTGCCAGGAATCATATGCAAAAACACACATACTTTCTAGGACTGAAGTAGAATTGAAGTAAGGTCTAGAAACATTTACTTATGAAAGACGTTTGCATTCTGTTAAACATTTTAAGGATGCATTAAAAATATCTATTATATTAAATTGTATAAAAAAGGTCACCTTGACTTGACTGATGCAGGATCAGGGTGCAGACAAGATGCTGATCTTAGGATCAGATCAAATCATCCACCATGAGAGTCAGATCAGAGCTCAGAGAAGAGGCCACAATACTTTATGCAAAGTTCTTTGTTTTGTGGCATATGCAAATATTCTGACACTGATCCGTGAACTGTGAACGCTGGGTATATAGCGTACTCCAGGCAATCTTGCAATAACACAACTAATACAAACAACAGAACTGAAAGAAGCTTAGCACTCCAGTGCATTCGTGTTTTATCACATTTGTGAGAAATTATGTGAAGATAAATCTCAGATCATACTTCCAGGTTAAAAAATACATGATACTAAAGAACAAGTAAGAGTTTGAATGGGTTTAAATTGTGTAAAAAATAACCATTTCAAAAACAAGATTTTGCCTGAAATTACATCATGCACTGGCCAAGAAAATGTCATTCTGTCATATGCCTAAGTGAGAATTTATCTAGGAGGGGTGGTCACAAAAATATGTGTGTGAATGAGCACTATGTGTATACAATTACAAAATTTGCTGTCACAATACTATAAACAAACTCTCAAATTTGCTTTATAGTTCAGACACAAGGTAAAGATCATTTGGTTTAAATCTTAAAATTAGTATAGTGGGTAGTAGTATAGATCAGAGCAGCACGATATTGGACAAATCTAACATCACACTATATTGTTAGTCTGCGATATACAGGTATATTCCAATACGAATACAATTTTACCAGATGACTTGAATATCTCTATTTGGAAAGATCTTAATAGTTTTAGATTGAAATGGTTCTGTAGGTGTTTACACCTGTATAAAATCTCATAAACAAATTAAAAGCTTGGATAAATAGAATAAAGATAAAACATTATCGAAATAAACAGAGTTTGAGACCCAATCCCAACTTTACCCCTTACCCCCTACCCCTCGTTTTGCATTTACGTGAAGGGGAAGGGGTGTCCCAATAACTTTAGCGTAAAAGCGTAGGGCTAAGGGGAAGGGGTAGATAAGCCTTCAAACTAGGGTTGGGTGATGTTGACAAATTTGGCATTGTTTGGCTATTTGGCAGTTTGAGTTTGCGACAGGGGTGGGACGGAGGATTGGCGATGCTGGCTCAACATCGCGATGGACAATGGCATCGTCATCATAGGAGGAGGTGAATTAGTTATTTATGAATTATTAATTAATTCATACCGTTTTAAATACCTGACCTGCATGGTCTTTGTTTTACCCATAAATAAATCATAAATAAATAAAGATAAACTGCACACAAATTATCACCTGTCAATCATTTTTTCTGGAGGTTCGTCAGTAAAAAAGGTGCACAACCAACAGTATCTGAGGTTTTCACTAAAATTACTAAGTACAAGTGTGAAAGTGAAAGACTAAAGCAGTGTACTGATGCTGTGACACGTAACCTGATGTATTCAAAAGACCGAATAGTCATTAGATAAAGACAAGATTAATTAAATATCATGTTTAACAACAATAGTGAGACACGATCCAGTGGTACATCCGTGATAAACTGTCCGACGTGCACTGCTCTCTGGAGCTGCTCAGCTGAGCGCATGACAGTGTCTGTGGCTGTGAATGTGTGTGTGTGTGGTCACGTGGTTCGCGTTTTTAGCGGAGAGAGGGCTGTTCAGAAATGCTTGGTAAAACAAAACGTGCATGTGGATCATTTTCATGCAAAAATGCTATTTTAATACTAAGATGTAATGGTGTAAACGGGACCGAAGTGTGTATTTTTCACGAGCGGGTTTGCAGGGGGCAGGGCTGAGGATCGGCAATGCTGGCTCAACATCGTGTTTCCTATCGTCATCGGCAATGGACAATGGCATCGTCTATCTGCCCAACCCTACTTCAAACTGAGATTTTTCAGGACCACACTCAAAACCAAGGGGTAACAAAATTTCCCAGAATACACCAGCCACAATGGCAGCATAGCAACAAACAAGCACTTTTTAATACAATTGTTTGTGTTTTATTGCAATGTTAAAAAAAAAAACGCTGAAAAAAAACAACTAAATTCCAGGATCTATAATCGATAAATCTATAATCCTAACTCCTGTATAGCCATCCCACAACATTCTGACACTCATATACCCTGTCAGAAAAGTCTAGTGGCTGAGAATGACCTTTTTAGTGTCTGCTATAATGTTAATGTTGTTTCCGTGTGTTTGCGTAGATGCATGTGGCCACTGTGTAAATGCGCAGTACAGTTGAGATCTTATTGACACATTATATCGTTATGATAACATGATATACCCCTTCAGTGATTTCCTGACGATAAATAAAAAAAATAAAGCAACTGGAATTACTAGAGCAGTCACGATCGTCTGATCTCATATGAAGCAAGAGATCGCGATGACAGATGATGACCTGTGCAGGTGCTGTAGTGCTGTCCCAATTCTTAGGGGTGCATTTTGAAGCCCTTCCCCTTCATACTCGTTTTTAAGGGCCAAGGGGAAGGGGAAGGGGTAGGGTACAAAAATAGAATTGGGATTTAGGTAAAGTAACTAAAATATAAAAAAACATTTTGTTCACATTATGTTCACATAAAACGATATATTATGCTGCCCTCGTATAGATAACTGCTGTCATTGGAAACAGTTCTAAAGATCTAAAGCCATGCTGGTTAACAAATAATGAATGAACACCATAATAAATTTATTTTTCATTGTTTGTTCATAAATGCATTACATAACAACAACTAATGGAATCTACTATAAAGTGTTTCCACGTCGTGTATGCATGTACTAAAGCCATTAAATTATTAGTTTTATTCCTAATCTTTTCAATGGTTTCTGCAGAACACCCAGAGGAATATGTTTTCCAACTAGCCATCTTTTAAGGGGTGGTCCAGAATGTAATTTTAAGGCTTGGTTGTGTTTATAAGATGCTAAGCGATGTGTGCTCATGTTTCACTTGAAGGAAATCATGTTATTTTTTCATATCTCACTTTGATTATACACAGCTACTCAGCTAACATGTAAACTACTACTACTACTACTACTACTACTACTACTAATAATAATAATAATAATAATAACTAGAACCTAAAGTTCGTTGACGAACTTTGATGTTGGCTTGAGAAAGCCAACGTGACTGCGCCGGGGACTCAAAGGCAGTTGGCAGGAAGCACAGCGGTTGAGAAGTGGTTGCTAGGCGGTTGCTAAGGTGTAGCTAAGGCATTCCTAGGTAGTGGCTAGGGTGTTCTGAGTGGTTTCTAGGCTGTTGCTAGGGTCCACTGGACTGTTAATCGGAAGGCCTCATTTACATTTTTGATCAAATCGAGAGAGAGAGAGGACTGATTTGTTCAGGTTTAATGCAGATCACTATAGTATAGTTAGTATTTATAGTATATATTATAATCTGAACAAAATTACATTATAATAAATATCATATAAAGAAAAATATTAAATTAAAATACTAATGAAACAATAGCACATGCATTTAGTTAATTTGTCTTTTATTTAATCAGTCTTATCAGTTTTGCAGTTAATAAAGAGTACAGTCAATTTACAGTAATTTGCAGCGTTATATATATAGTTATAGTTATATAGTTATATATACAGTTTACAGGAAGAAAATTGCATTAAATACAATATTAGGCCATCTTCATCACGTGGTTAATTCTGACCAATGACGTTGTTTCACCCCACTGGCCACTAACACAATGTTATAATCGTAATATTTAGTTGTCATCACCTGGGTGATTTTATTTTTTTTGGTACAGCATAGACCAAAAGCTTGGCTTTCATTGTCATTATCACAAGTGAGGAGAAGGCTTTTTTGCGGAACAGAATATTCTGTTTTGAAAGAAATATCTGAAGTAAACTTATGTTTTTGCCAACATAAAAGGGGGATAAAAAATAATCCTTATAACCCTAACCATAAATGTGTGTGTGTGTATGTATATATATATATATATATATATATATATATATATATATATATATATATATATATATATATATATATATATATATATATTTATATATATATATACACTGTTGAAGTCAGAATTATTAACCCCCAGTTGATTTTTTTTCCCTTTTTTAAATATTGCCCAAATGGTGTTTAACAGAGCAAGGAAATTTTCACAGTATGTCTGATAATATTTTTCTTCTTGAGAAAGTCTTATTTGTTTTATTTCGGCTAGAATAAAAGCAGTTATTAATTATTTAAAAACCATTTTTGGGACACAATTATTATCCCCTTTAAGATATTTTTTTTTTGATAATCTACAGAACAAACCATCGTTATAAAATAACTTGCCTAACTACCCTAACCTGCCTAGTTACCCTTATTAACCTAGTTAAGGCTTTAAATGTGACTTTAAGCTGTATAGAAGTGTCTTGAAAAATATCAAGTCAAACATTATTTAATGTCATCATGGCAAAGATAAAATAAATCAGTAATTAGAAATAGGTTTTTAAAACTATTATGCTTAGAAATGTGCTGAAACAATCTTCCCTCCATTAAACAGAAATTGGGGAAAAAATAAACAGGGGAGCTAATAATTCTGACATCAACTGTATGAATATATATATATATATATATATATATATATATATATATATATATATATATATATATATATATATATATATATATATATATATATATATACAGGGCTCGAAATTAACTTTTTTACTTGGTAGCACCGGTGCTCCCAACTTCAAATATTCAGGGGCACCAAAATAAATTTAGGAGCACCAGAAAAAATTTAGGAG